AGTAGCTTCTTGCTCCTAGTAGCAAGAATGCTACTAGTAGTAATGCCTTGTTACTAGTAGCGATGCCATTTGTTCCTAACAGTTTCTTTCGCCTAGTAGCAAGTGGTAATGCTCTTTGTTACTAGTAGCGATACCCTTTGTTCCTACTAGCTTCTTGCTCCTAGTAGCAAGAGTGCTACTAGTAGTAATGCCCTTTTTTACTGTTCGCGATGCCCTTTGTTCCTAGTAGCTTCTTGCTCCTAGTAGCAAGAAAGCTACTAGTAGTAATGCCCTTGTTACTAGTAGGGATGCCCTTTGTTCCTGGTAGCGTCTTGCTCCTTGTAGCAGGAATGCTACTACTAGTAGTAGCGCCTTTTGTTACTAGTAGCGATGCCCTTTGTTCCTACTAGCTTTTTAAAAACAGGAAAGTTGGTTGTGTCTTGCAAGGATGACATACCTTCTTCAAGAAAGGAATGATCTTGAAGTTATCGGAATGCGTGTTACTGGCTCGACCAAGGTCTATCCTTCGTTCCCGTTCGGCGTGCCAGACAAGAAGAGGGACAAGCCTTTGAGCAAGTACCTAACGCAGGACCAAGTTCAAGTGTCACAGTATCCTAGCAGCTGTTCATAGAAAAGCAGACATTTTGCGCTGCGGCACTCACAAAGCTGTTGCCATCCAATTGCTGATGCAGATTGATGGCATTGACCTAGACTCTCCAATCTGCAAGGATGTAGCCATTGAGGGACAGGTGCGGATCACTCTCAATCCTGACGTCTTTTTGCGGGCAGCGACCTCAGGGACCCTGGGGACGCGATGGCCTCCAACCCCTAATAGCAAGGAAGAAAGTCGTTTCCAGTTTCCGAATACAGGCCATAGCTAGGTCTCCAACCTAATAGAAACGGTCTCCAACCTAATAGCAATGGCCTCCAACCTACTAAGCGCCAAAGAAACCCCAAAGACAAGAAACAGAGCCCAAAGAAACCTGAAACCACTGAAACCCAAAGACAAACACAAAGAAGTCCGTATTATAGTTCCTCTCTCCTCTTTCCTAACTCCTACTTCTCCTTCGTTAAGTGGGATGCCTTTTCTGCTCCCTCCCTTTGTCACTGTCTCGCTCTCTCCCTCCCGCTGGCTCTGCTGTTTCGTCCCCTGACCTTTTTGCTGCTCCTGATGCTTGTGAAGCACTCCCAGAAAACCGCGAAAAACATTCCCAGAAAAAAATCATGGAAAACATCTCCATCCATAGCGATGGCCTCCAGCCTAATAGCGATGGCCTCCCACCTAATAACGATGGCCTCCAATCTGCTTGCAATGGCCTCCACCCTAATAGCGATGGCCTCCAACCTAATTGCGATCTTAGGGATTCTGGGGACACCATGGAACAGACGCAACTCAAGGAATCCAAACGGAAGACCCGTCTCATGCTAGGGAGGGAGAATGATAATATAGTTCAGAAGGGCCTCGATGGTGAGAAGCACAGAAAACGATCTTTTGAGACTAGTGACAAGACAAGGCATCGCTACTAGTAACAAGCGCATTACTACTAGTAACAAGCTACTTAGCAGGTAGTCGCTCCCTAGCTTCTACTAGCTGCCGAAGCTACTAGTAACAAGTGCCTTACTAGTAGTAACAAGTGCCTTACTAGTAGTAACCATGTTTGCTACTAGAAACAAGTGCCTTACTACTAGTAACGGGAATTGACCTCCAGGACCGGAGTGACTTCTCAGGCCACCACTGCTCGAATGTTCACCTTCTCGGCGGACCGCTTCTCGCGGCGCACCACGGGGATTGTATTTTTGTTTGGGCAATTTTGTGTGTTTTTTCGTGAAACAAAACAACAGAAACACACAACACCGAAAAAATAGAAGCACCTGCAAAACCTGAAGAGTTGTGAAGTGTGTTTTCATCCCATGTTCACAAAGTGTTTTCCTTTTTGTTTTGTTTTTTGGTTGTGTTTTCACCGGTAGTCTGGAAACGCAGGATCCCACCTTCCACAAGCAGCTTGGCAGATGATAATTTCCCCAAATGGCCTCCATCCTAGTAGCCATGGGCTCCAAAGTCAATGACTTTGGCCAACATTTTCAGTCCTTGACTTTTTGTTTCGATTGCAGCTGTTGCCGACTTGCGGCAGCAAAGGGACAAGCTTAGGAATCGCGCTGATTTCCAGGAAGAGCTGAAGCCCGGCAAACCTAGAGCAGTGTCAGCAACAAGTTGCTTTTTCGTCTAAAATAGAAAACCAAAGACGTACAAGAAGGGAAACACACGTGAATTGAAATGATGGGTTGTACCTTGTACCTGTCGTTGTGCTGTAGCGATGCTTGATGCAACACAAGTGCAGCTGCAACCGTGCACCTTGATCCAATGTCCAAATCTGAAACGAAAGATGTGAAGTGTTTTGGCGCTTTCTTATTTCATTAGTAACAAGAAGCTACTAGGGGCTCCTGGCATCGCTGCTAGGAGCAAGGACGCTACTAGGGGCTCCTGGCCTTGCTACTAGCAACAAGAACGCTACTAGTAACAAGAAACTACTAGGTGGAGCATTCTTACTACTAGTAACAAGAAGCTTTTTAGTATGTCTCCATTTCAGGTCCATGCTGGAGCCCATCTTGGGCTCAGAGGCCGTGCGCCGCAAGGCTGCCCGGGCCCCAGCGGTGCTTCCAAAGGCGCTTCGAATCTTCAAAGAGCCCCTAGTAGCACTTTCCACGGTCACCGAGGCCAAAGGCATATTCGGAGGAGATCCGCCGGAGTGGTGGTCTGCCGAGGAAGGGTTCCTGATTGGACCGCAGCTTGCCATTCTTGTCCACAACTTTGAGACACACGAGTGAACTGCTAGTCGGGGAGTGGTATGGTATCTTTGGCTTTCAATGTTCCAATTTGCGTTCTCCCCTGGTCCGCTTAGCGAGCGCATCAATGCTTAAGCAGGATCAAAGTGACCTGGCAAAGATGTCCAAGGGCCGCTATGCATCTTCAGCGCTTGACGAATAGCTTTATTCATCACCACCGCGCCTTTGCATTGAAGCACACAAACTTAAATGTCAAGAGACTGGAGATAAAATGGAGATCTAATGGAGATGCAATGATCTGTGATCAAAGTCGTTTGGTGGGAAGAGTCACGAAGCCTTTCTAGCCGGCTAGCGTGAGAAAGTCACGGGTCGGGCTGGGAAGCTGGCAAAATCGTGGCGTGAAAAGATGAGCTCTTGTGTTTTTATAGAGCCTGTCAGCTGAAAGGTAGAGCAGTTCAAAGATTTGCATATGCAGATGCATCTAGTGAATCTAGTGAGTAGAAACAGCAGCTTAGTAGCTAGGATCGTGACAACTTTTGAATCATGTTTGTTTTCAAGCAGTGCTGATCAAAGATGCCATCGGGTTTTCTCGTTTTTCTTTTTGCTTCGTCGCACAGCTGTGCAACCATTCCAAGTCTGACTGTTCCGATTGGGAAGACTATTGAGATCGGACTTGATGAATCTAGAGGAGATGCATGGGAAGGTAGGCAAAGAGATGGCATGGCTCCCTTGCTGACCGAAAAATATTAGCCAACACAAGCTCAGTTGACATTGCCACATATCGACCCCCTTCAGGACATGTCAAGACATCTCAACGGCCTTTGAACTCGCTATTAGGTTGGAGGCGATGCCTGGAAGGTTGGCCATCGCTCTTGGGTTGGAGGCCATTGCTATTAGGTTCTTTGAACTCGTTGTTTTCTCTTCATCTACCATGTTCACAACACGATGATGCCGGATGATGCTGGAAAATGCCTGCGCTTCTTCTGCACAAGGCTCACAGCAGTCTCAGGTTTGACCAGAATTCTTGCAATTCAGATGCTCAAACTGTATTTCTGCTTTAAGAATTGGAAGTGATGGTAGTAGTGACTGGTAGTCCTTCTGTAAGGAGAGCCCTCCTAGAGTTAAACTCAAAGACATTGTATGCGTTGATCAACACATGTGATTCACATACACAAACACACACACACACAGAGTTTCCTGTTGTTGAATTCTTCAATGTTGTCATTATTTTTAGTCTATGGCCGCGGGTGTTAGAGATGACGGGCAAAGCTTTCTATTTTTTCCCGAAAGCATTGCGAAGGGTTCTTCCGGAAAATCCCTTGAACACTGACACTTCGACACGTACACTTAGACACTGACACTTCCACCACATTCGCAGTACATACACTGACACTTCGACATGGACACTTACACATACACACTGACACTTGGCAAGCACGCAGTGTAAGTATACAATTGATGGGTGCGCAAGCATGCTTTGAGCATGCAAGCACGCAATGAGTAGGCAAGTGTGAGTATGCAAGCATGCTTTGAGCATGCAAGCATGCAATGAGTAGGCAAGTGTGAGTATGGAAAACTAGCACGGGAGATGTCCTAATGAAAAAACATTTCCCCACTTTATAAATTCTCTCTTAAAGGCGGAG